CTAATTGGATTGGTCATGTTTTACGCAGAAACTGCCTTCTAAAAGAAGCTATCGAAGGAAAGATAGATGGGCGGATAGAAGTGACAAGAAGACGAGGAAGAAGACGTAAGAAGATGCTGGATGACCTTGGGGACAGAAGAGGATACTGTCATTTGAAGGAGAAAGCTCTAGATCGCATTAAGTGGAGGAATTGTTTTGAAAGAGACTGTGGACCTGTCGTCTTGACAGATTACTGATGATGATGACTACTATATGGCATAGAGATAACCTGGGGAAAACTATACAAACAAAACCTGCGGAAAAGAGAACAAGTGAAGGCAAGATACCTTAAACTAGCGCTAGAGCTTCCTAAGAACACACAATCCAGACCATCCAGACTAACATACGAACTCTGCAAGGAAAATTTCCTACTAGAACAACTCAGATATCAACTGCCAAGCACAAAAAACTCAGTGGAAGTTATCAAAGAAAGAAAACAAAAAAGAGAGGAAATATGGGAAGACTTCTACAGCACTGATGCAATGACTGGCAGAACCGGGACAGGACCCAACGGAAAATTACGACACACAATTACTAGCTTGGCAACACACGGATTCCACTACAAGATATACAAGAACGAACGTTTCCACGAAGCATATGACGCGTGTGTGTATAAACACTGTGATAAAAAGTGCAGTAGATACCACATTACCATATGCAAAAACTTAACCACATCAATAACCGACTACAGTCGCGAATAAAAACAATTACTCTATGCACATTGTGCGCATTCCCTTCTTAATATAATGATAGCTTCCATTCATTTCCAGACCGTTCCAGACTATCTAGTTCATGTAAGATTCGTAGAGATGGCAGTTCTGCACGTTTCCCTTTCCTTTATCCTAGTCTGACCCCCCAATTGCCGGGAGCGATCAGAGTAAAACAAGGGTTAACATAAAGCGGTCAACATGTATCAATTACATGAAAAGTCCATGCACAATACCCGATGATTCCTTCAGTAACCTCAGTTATTCTCGGCCCTAGTCTCGACTGAAACGAATTTCGAGAGACGGGGTCTGAACGGGAGATTCTTGCAGTTCTAGCTAAAATTTCGTCTTTATGTGTCATCATGGGTGACTTCGTAATCCTATAATTTAACTAGTCCTTACGAGAAGAAGTTTCCAATAATTATTCTGATATGGGCTAGTATTTTGTTGTTCCAATTGTTAGTCACAGGCGAACACGGATATTAGCGATAGGAGTGTACAAGCATCAACGGCAAAACTACATAGCATTTTGATGATTAAGATGATTACGGCTACTCTACGGGCTGGTCCCTCAGATGGGCCGTGTGAAATTGGTATTAGTCCCATTTGTGCTTTTGACCAAATATTGAAGTACCTTCTGGGATACAACCGTCTTGTAGTTAATTACCTGTAGCGCTCCATGGATTAATGTTTCTGAATTGGGTCAAAGAATGAGTTCCGTTGCGTCACATCCTCCGTACATATTTCAAGGGAAAATATGGTGGTTCCTTGTGTAGAGTTTGACAGTTATGTGTGGAAGTTGCAGCTAAGGGTGCTTGTGATTGTTAGCATAACAGGTGTGACTTTTGCCTCATCTGTAATTGTTATATAGTCAAGATGATCATCTGCCTTATTGAAATGTAATGTTGTGTACTAATATGACATTTGTTTTTATTATTGTCATTCCAAAAGTTGAAAGTTGCCCAGCATATTTGTATTAAGAATTTCAGCATTTCTTTTCCGGAACAGGATCTATTTAATACTGGACAGTTTTTACCCGTAGTTTATAACGTAAAATAACATTGTTTTGTAATTTTATGTACATATTTACTTCAAGTGTATTTGTTCGCAGTCTTCAGAATTGAAAAATTGAAAGTTGTAACTGAACAAAGAAGCGCGAATATTTTACTCGTTTCTATAAATATAATGTAACGTGTGAGTGAATGCAATATTTTTCTGTCTGCTTTATTCTTTGAAGCGCGAATATTTTACTCGTTTCTTTAAATATAATGTAACGTGTGAGTAAATGCAATATTTTTCTGTTTTAATTTGGATTGTGTTATATTGTTTTATAGGTGCTTATGGCATCCTTCCTGAAGCCAGCCAGGAAGGAATGTTACATCCATATAAGAGTTATGCTGACGTGACATTGTTTCATTACACTGTGCCACCAGAAGTTAGAGTAGCAACATGGGAATTTGCGGCTTTCATGGATAATCCAAAATGCCCAATTAAAGACGTTCATATGTGAGCATTTCTTAAGATATATTTTAAGAGACTGAACAGTGACAGTAATCAAGACTACCTCTGCCCAAAGGGCCCAACTGAGTAGGATCCTTCACCTTTTTTAATACCTGATGTTGGAAGTGGATCCAGCTTCCAGAACTTCATGTAATTTTAAATTTTACTAAGACAGTGGACAGTGTCCAATATAATTTTATAATTAGCAGTGACATTATTCTTTATTTGCATCTAGAGTCCTAAACTTTTTCATGAATTGACTGGGGTGTCAGTAGTTGGAACCAGAACCATATTTGCTCTTATATGACCTTAATATTCTCCACAGACCTTATAGTGTCAGTTAATGACTTTGACTTAGTCTGAGGTGACCTAAACTTCCAAGTACTGGACTGGATGATTTAGACACTCAAGAATTCTAACGAGCATGGTAGTTTATTTTAACGACCGTCTCTGTGGTATAGTGGGCAGAGGTCCTGGGTTCGATTCCCGGTGCTACCAGATTTCCTGAAAAGTAGTGGGTCTTTAAAGGGGGCCCACTCAGTCTCACAAGGATAATTGAAGAGCCACTTAAATGGAAAGGTAGCAGCTCTGGTCTAGAAAACTGAGATTAACGACCATGGGAATCTGCTGCAGTGACCACACGACACCCACTATCTGCAAAAGTTGGCACTAACTTCACTGACAAATGGTGGTCACTCCTTCGGTATTGTTTACTTGTGGATTAATGGTGATGGAGCTTTTTATGGTAGTTTATTTTAGCATTATATGTTAGTAGTTCATATTATTAATAAATTTAACTTACTGAATAGCGTGATTTTGAATATTGATTTGTTATGCTGCAATGATTTCCTGTTACATATAATAAAGTAGCTGTACTTAACAACATATCCTCTGCTTAAATACATTTTGTTTACCCTAACTAATTTCATGGATATACAGAGCTCAATAAGCATGTTATACATTGCTTCCAAGGTAACTGAATGATAGGCCCTGTTGAAGTCTATGAATGGCTGATTTACTGTCCAATTTTAATCATATCTTTTCTCCAAATTCTGACTGCAGTGTATGATCTGTTATATCAGAATCCACACTTATGATCCCATTAATTTTGTCTACATATGGAGCTAACCTTGATAATGTTGGATAATTATGTTGGATATGAGTTTCTCACACCAGTGACTGAAGAGTACTGTCTTCTGGGATTTCCCAGAAAAGTTTTCCAGCATTACAGAGGTATATACTGCTTGGATTTTTGGCGTCAGAGAGGAAGCACTCTTTAACCTTGAAGGTGGAGGCAGTACATTTCTCTTAAGTATCATGGAACTTCAACTGTACTACACATCATCACATCATAGAAGATGAGACTTAAATATTGGATAAATTTTGTATAAAGTTGGTAACAGTGATATTACTCTATAATTAATGCAGTTTTATCACCCGTCTTATAAAATGGTGCAATGACATGCTACTGATGTATTCTTTTTTTATTTTTCAGATCTAATTAAGTTTATAGATTTCAGAATATAATGTTTCAGCTCCTGTTTGAAACAGTGCTGCAGAATTTGATCAGTACTTGGTGTTTTATACCTTTCCAGCTTTTCAGGAGCAATTTGAACCTGAAAAAACTAGGCTCAGATACTGGGGCCACAAAATAGTCCAAGCAAACCATAAAAAAATTCTGTGATATTAGTTTGCAAGGGAACTATACCGACGGAATGACCGCCACTTGTCGGCGAAGTGAGTGCCAACTTTTGTGGATAGAGGGTGTCGCGTGGTGAGCACAACGAATCCCCATGGCCGTTAATTTCGGTTTTCTGGACTGGAGCCGCTATTTCCTTGAAATAGCTCCTCAATTATCATCACGAGGCTGAGTGGACCCCGTTCCAGACCCACTACTTCTCAGAAAAAATCTGGTAGTACCGGGAATTGAACCCGAACCTCTGGATCTGTAGCCAGGAACACTGACCACTAGACCACAGAGGCGGTCAGAATAGTCCAAGCAGGATATAAAAATTAAAGAAATAATATCACAACACACGTGTAAAACATTTGCCTAGATCTTCAGCTCTGAATGAAGCTGGTTGTTGCGATCTGCCAGATTCTTGAAATTTGAATAAGGAGATCATGTTATTAGATATTATTCACTTGTTAATAAACTTCTACTTGTCATCTATCACTGTAATCAATCTGATTCAACATTCATACCCTGCAAAAACATTTTTGAACAGAAGTGTAGGGATGATTGACACAGTATACACAGTGCAATGTTGATGTTCTTCAGAGTCCCGTGATTTCTTAGTGTAGAGTTTGCTTTTTAAAAACCCCAGAGATAAGAAGTAATGGTTTTAAGTCAGATGAATGGATGGGTCACTTCTTCTTTCCTGATAAATCCAACGCTCTGAAAGATTTGGTTTAAAGACTCTTTTTAACAGTTTAAACAAAGTGATGCAGTGCTACATCCTGTTGAAAGACTTGGAGCTGTGGAATAAAGACCTGTCATAGCACACTGAGGTACAGAATGCTGGAGACAGTGCAGTCATCAAAGAAGTATGGTCCATAGATGTCAGAACATGGCATGGTGTGCAAGATATTTACTTTAGACGAATCCCTTTCATGTTCATACCATTTGTTCAGATTTTCTTCTCCCCATATCCTGCAGTAGTGATGATCAGATTTATATGACATGTGAAATAAAGTTTAAGCATCAAAAATGAGTTTTGATAAATGTTTGTCTGATTCTGTCCACTTAATTATTGACAACCATTTACTCTAATCATAACCATTTTATAAAAGTGCAGTGATTGAGGTTAGCCCTTTCTAAGGGACCCAACAGAGTACGATGGAGGATGGAAGCAGATCCAGTTTTCGAAACATCATGTTTTCTAGTTTTTTTGGACACCATATCACAGACAAAGTCCAAAAGCCCAGGAATTACGAGTTCCTTAACTGTTTTCATTTTATAAAATTTGAACCTCAGTTCTTTATATAGGATATTATGAAGAGAGCTTTTCGGAATGTTTAAATCAAGTGATGCTCTTTAGACTGGCTTTTAGGGCAACTCTTGCCTAACACCACCAAACAGCATTGATCCGTTCATTAAACTTTCCTAGCCCTGGCTTTCCCCTTCAGGAGAGATTCCATTGTCTCAAACTGGTCCATCCAATTTTGTGTGGTGTGTTGTTAGGTGATGGTTTGCTCAGTTCATGTTGCAAATGCTTTTGAGCTTGAATGATTGAATCACATCATATACAAATATCACAGATTTTGCTGTCTTCTGAGGACTTGTAAGATCTGAGGACTTCTTTATTATCAAAAACTGTGTTTCTGCTGAAACATAATGTAAGTACCAATCAGTATTGATAACAGGCTAAAATTTATAAATCTAATGCAGATATTCATATTACATTAAGTCACTATCAAAAATAACAATAAAATTGTTCGTTTTTCTTTTTGGTATATTCATTTTCAGACACCTTATAGTAATTGATTATTTACATAACAGAGCTTGAAAAAAACTATTACAAAGGCAGAAAAATGGGACGTTTTCCCCTTGCATCTGGTTTTTCAGCTACATTCAACATGGCAGTTATCCTGTGATGAGTCCTGATAATTCGAGCTTCCCACCGAACGTATACACAGGAAGGACCTCGCTGCATTACATCACAACCAAGTCAGCATATCAGCCACATGATGCTACCATTTTCCCCGTGTACAACCCTCTCCCTGGGAACTGGTTTGTGGCAGCTTATATTTCGCATTGGGACCAACATGTGCGGCAAGAGGTGAGGTTTCGTTTTGGACCCATTATGCTCAATGTAGATTTGAAATATATGCAGAATGTTAAAAAATGTTTCCTACTAATATGTCCAAGACGTTTAGAATGAAAGAACCTGCAGCTGGTGTTGTAATTTGTTATTTTTCAACTGAAAACAGCGACTTGAATGGAAAAGTAGGGGTTCCAGTCTAGAAAACCGAAATTAACGGTCATGGGGATCCGTTGTGCTGACCACGCAACACCTCTATCTGCTAAAGTTGGCATTAACTTGGCTGACAAGTGGCTGTTGCATGGTCGTTGTAGTTTGCTTGCGGACTAAAGCCACGGAGTTTGTTTTCATCTTTTTTTTTGTATTGATTCTTTGGATACTTCACAAGGACAACCTTTGTTGAAGAACTTTTGCATTAAGATATGTGAATACTTGTGATGGTATAGATAAGTACATTTATTTTGTGAACATATGTCCAGGCAATTTTATTTTAAGGGAAAATATTCATTCCTTTTGAATTGAACCGTGATGTATGTCTAATCCCCAGAACTTGTGAATTGAGATCATATCCCTGAAGAAAACCGAATTTTCTCACTACTTAGGTTGGTAAGAGTTGTAGAGCAAGTGCTTAAAGTGTATTGTTTCAGCGTGAAACATGACTAATCCCATAGTCTGCTATTGGATGCAGTCCTAAGCAGTTGAGTATAGTTAGATTTACGTAATCAATTTTAATAGAATGGCATTATTGTTCACTTAATTACATAACCAATTTTTGGATGATATAATTAGAGACAGGTATATAGTGTAATTTCTCAGTGTATATGAGCATTCCAGTAGAAGTTGAACATTGACTTTTTTCTTTTATCATTTACTTTAAATAATGACAGGTGATAAGTTGATATATTTCCAAGGTGAGATTGTATCAGATTGCTACACTAAGATTTTTATGGTCTATCGTGATCTTTCAGATCATGATTAGGCAATAGGAAAACTAAATGCACCTTCTCATTTTGGAACTGTCATTTGTAATGATGCTGTATTAGGTGGTGAAACTCATCTGATTTGCTGGCAAGCTAAAATATTGTGACGTTGCGCAACGGAGACCCCCCCCCCAGCAGTGACGTGGCGGGTGAGTCAGCGCTCCGTCACCCCCCTCCGCATGGTGACGTAACACGCAATGCGCGGTGACGTAAGATGACGTGAGGTAACAGCGTTGCTAGGCTATACGCAAACACGGCGACGTGGCACCGATTCCTACTGTGACGTGGCACACAACGATGCTGTTGACGCAGGCAACAGGCAACAGCGAATGGAATAAAAGCCGGCTGAACGGTAAGCGTGAGTTAGTTGAAATGTGGCCATCGCCGAGTTGAGTTGTAGTCGAGTTAACTTATAGCCGTCCCCGGAGAGAGTTAAAGTGTATCAGAGGCCGAAGACAGTTCTCCAGTCAGCAGCCTACAGTTGGAGTATAGCAGCGTTCGCGGAAAGAAGAACCGGACGTGTGTGTAGTTGTGTAATTGGGAGTGTGTGATACAGGGACACTTACATAGCTCCCGTACTGTAAATGTGTAGACTACTGAAGACAGAGTGAATTGATTTGCGAGTAGGGTTATAAATCGTGAAACCCCGCAACAGTGTAAACAGATTATTGCGATTAGGGTTATAAAGTGTGAAACCCCGCAACTGTGTGATAATTAATTGTAGCTGTTACTTGTAGGTTGTTGAATAAACCAGTTAACAATCTGAACGGCGTCTTCAGTAACAAGACATGTTACAATATGTTTGACTTTGCAACTAATGAGTAATAAGCGACCATTATAGAGGAGGGCACTGAAAATTAATTTCTTCAGTGAGTTTTAAAATGTGCCATGCCCTATTGTTTGATGTCTTCTTTCAGTGCATTGAATATAATGGCATTATTTTCATAATATTTTTTGAGACTTCACAGTAAAAATCATTTGTATTCATGTCTGTGGCTTTTGATGCTCACATCCAGTTATTCACAGCTCTGTTGACAGACATGTCATGGAACATCTGCATGGAATTTATAACAGTATGAGATGCTATCTGATGTGTTAAGAGCATACAAAAGATTTTTGCTTACTGGAGAGATAATAGTTACATGGAAGAAGACTGTCATTATTAATCTAATTAAACTTGGAGGTTCCAGAAAAGTACTGAGGAAGTGGGGTAGTTGCATTTGAGAAATTGTGATAAAATTCACATCTTCTTGTTCAGTGTGACCTCTGTTTAACAGGGATTGGGTCACAAATGCCACTACAGCCTTGGATCAGTGGCTCTCTGGTCTCAGGTTATGGGGATTCCTGTTGTGAGCCCTGGTGTACCCAAGACTGTTGTTACTATAGATAATTTTTCGTATTACAAGTGAGTATGACCTATGTCTTTACTTGTGTGGATGTAAGAAGTACCTTAGTTTCTGTCCAAATTGACATATATTGAACTCATTTATTTGTGATCCCATTGTTCTTACAGGGATCACCTCTGTGGTCTAGTGGTTACAGTTCCTGGCTGCAGATCCAGAGGTCTGGGTTCGATCCCTGGTGCTGTCAGATTTTCTGAGAACTAGTGGGTCTGGAACGGGGTCCACTCAGCCTCGTAAGGATAATTGAGGAGCTGTTTCAAGGAAATAGTGGCTCTGATCTAGAAAACCGAAATTAAGGGCCATGGGAATTCGTTGCGCTGACCACGTGACACCATCTATCTGCTAAAGTTGGCACTGAACTTCACTGACAAGCGGCGGTCGCTTGGTCGGTATAGTTCGCTTGCAGACTAAAATCACGGAGTTTTTTTTTGTTCCTATAAGAAGAAGAATTCTTTATCTTCATAAATCTTATAAACAAAGGCCTACAACAGTGCAGGTCATGAGCTCACCATGGGATGTAAACATTTCATGATGGCCGTTAGAATTATTTTCCTCTTATAGCCTATTATTATCAGGGTATGTTCCATCAAGGTGATGGGCAAGATAATTCTTTCTTTGTTGTTTCCTTTAACCCTTTCATGTATTTATCTCCTTCCCTCCTTCTCCCATTACTTTTCCATACCTCCTGTTTTTTCATCCTGTCATTCCCTTCTTTCCTGCTCTTCATGTTAAAATCCCTCACCCCCTTTCTTACATTCATCTATCCATTTGTCTCCTCTCCTTTTCCTGTATTCCTTTCCCATTTCTTTTATTTATTTATTTTGATGCGCATTATTTCACACCCTGTGTGAGGTGAAATAATGTGCATCAAAATAACGTGGGTATAATAGAAACTTTAAAGGATTTATCTGGTTTTACCTAGAAAAGAGGACTACAGCATGGGATTTTAACATGAATTAAGACAGTGTAGCAGATTTAACACAGTTTAATAAAATATTTGTAAAATATCAAGACACCTGAAGATGGCCGTTTGGGGCCGAAACATGTAGTGTCAAGGTGTACTCGTATAGTGGTAAACTAAAATTGAGTGATGAATGGAAGAGTGTTGCAATATTGACAGACAATAAATAATGGATGTTAAGTTGAACAATTGCAATGGGGTGCTGAAATACAGAAGCAGGTGATAGATTGTGTTCTTCCTGGGTTTTTCCCAGATGTGAAAGGACCTAGCAATTTGTTCTCCTTTTGTAAATAAAATAAACGTATTTCTCACCTGGGGAATTTGTTTTACATTCTGGTACCAAGATTTATAAGAACTTTGTGTAGGTCTATAGACACATGTAACTAATTGTTTTGTATCAACTACAGCAGCAAAATAAGGTACCGTCACCTTTTTGTTTGTTATATACAAATTTCCTTATATGAAGTTCTTAAAAAAACATTTGGTTCTGTTTATATCTTTTTTATTTATAATGTGAACATTCTGTGTACTCTTGTTCCAGGATTTTCATTCCTGCTGGTACATGGCACTTCACAGTAAAGATTTCCAACTGCGAGTTTCGTGTGAATTCAGTGACATTGTTTAACAACAGCAGTGACACGATGCCAGACTGCATTCAGAGTCTGGCTTTGCATGCTCGAGCCTTGCCCACCTTCAATCCCAGGATTGTTATTGGAAACCTCAGCACTGAGTCTGAATTTACATTCACTGAAACTGAGCCATTCACTGATGGTTATTATTATCTGTTAGTAGTGTCGGAGTCTCAAGTCAGTTTTAACGTGGCTGTAACGACAACAGGTAAGAACATTTCATGTAAAGACAGTTGAAGTATTCTGAATCAATATTTTACCCTAGTTTTAATGTAAGTGGATGCAGTCATCAGGAGACCATTGATTTGTCCTTTAATTACACATGCATAAGAATTACCACTTAATTTGACATGTGCTAGAACATAGTTCACTTGTGGACTCAAGGCGACAGAGTTTGTTTCTGTTTGATAAACTTATGTCATGTGGTCTTTGATTATAATTTTAATATAAATGTTTGCTTTTTCATAGAATGCAGTGTTCAAGCACTAGGCAGAAGTTTTGCAAAGCAATTGGCTCAAATGACGGAATCTCTTACTCAGTCAGTGATGATAAGACATAGCAACAATACAGTGAAATCAGACTGGGCAAGCACTATTGTGTTTGCAAATAGCAGCAAAGTCCATGACCTTGGCTCTTTGGCTGGCACAAACATTCCTCAGTATAAATCAGAAGCTGAAGAAGATGCGGATACCACTAATGACCCTTGTCTCCCAACATTCCAATTGGCTCGTATTAAACATGCACAGGACTTTGCAGACACATTCCTTTTACAGGTTGGTATTGCTTCAGGGAAGCTTGTGGAAAGCACAGCAGTAATATATGGTCCTTTAGTTAGGATCTATCAAGGTTTCATAATTTCATTGCGTTTGTAAAACTGATGAAGATTTATTTGTGACTTGATTTATAGTTTGCCAACTTATGTTGTGTCTTGTCATTTTTTAATATTTACCCCCTTGTCTTATTCAGTTAAGTGCACTAATTACATGAGGATACTTCATAAGTTCCAAAGATTATTCAATATTATATCAAAAAACTGAGAGTGTGCCTTAAAACTGTATTGAATGTAACGAGGTATGTGTTCAGAAATTTGGAAGTTTGTTTGATGCTATTATCCTTGTTGATATTTAGCATAGTGTTTTTTTTTTTTTGTTTGAGTCTTAAGTCTTCAAAATTTTTTTCCATTTCTTTACATTGGTGCTCATGAAATTGGTTTTGTTGGCTAGGTTTGTAGCACAAATCTCTACCTCCTTTTGTATCATAGTTCCACACCTGTGCATTCTCTATCACAATTTTTATTGCATATTTTCATGTTATATCCCACCGAATTAGCCTGGTCTCAGGTGACTACATAGCTGTGTGAATCTGACAGGTGTCCAGTGACTGAGTTAACCTGTTTCTCAGGGACCCAACTGAGTAGGCGTCTTCCCCTCCTCACATGAGGATGGGAACAAATCCAGTTTTTGAAACGTAATATTTTCTAGTTTCTAGAATACTGGACGATGGAAAAAATGTTTCATTTGCACTGTCACACTCGTCTCTAGCTCACAAGACTCATCTTCACTTGAGAACTGCACAGCACTTTATACAGGCAAAGTCATTCTGGAAACTTCCTCTGGGTTACCATTCATCTTTGGATGTCAGCATGGGCTGAGCAGTTTGTAATGAATCTAGAAGCCAAAAATGGATGGTGAAGTTGAGAATGAGAGGCATGTAGATATACTTCCTCCCCAAACTTATGTCATGTAATGTCATATAATGGCAAATCTATTATTGTGTTGTTTGTCAAAATTGCTGCAGTAATACATTTGTTAATAATATTAGTTTACATTCTCAGATGTGCAATTTTTTTAATAATTAAATCATTGAATTAATTTAGTCTTTAAGCAATCTGTACATACCTGTCTGTATTTCATTGGTCATCTAGTGTGCATGTATGTGCAGGAGCATAATTTGTGTCTGCCAAGGCCAGATATAAAAGATATAAAACTTGAGAGTTGCTCTTCAGGAATGATATTGTTCAGTGTGTATTTTACTTTTACTGTTTTTCAAGTCATTATTGTTTTTTGTTTTCTTGCAGGGTCGAGAATGGTATGCAACTTGGGTAGCATTAACAGACCTATACCCAGTGATTGTACAGTTAGAAATACTGCCATTTGTTGATATTGGTGGAACATTAAATATTAATATCCATTTGGATGAATTATTAATACCTATCAAGGTAGGTCAGTCCACATTTTAATGGGATTCAAAAGGAGCTCTCAAGTTTTCCTTTTCCTCGTGTAAATTTCTGCCATTTTCATGTGTCATCTGTACCATTGTATAAGCTCTTGTCTCACCAGTAGGGTTCTTTCCCATCTTCATGGTACTGTCCCACAGTTCTGATTGTGACTTCAAGCTTGTGTATCCCTTTGAGGAATTCAGATGTGAAGGCTAAGTGAATTCTTCTTGTTGCCTGTAGTCAAGGTTCTGAGCCTAGACCGTAAGTGATTAACCCCCACACAGTTCTTTCAGGATTCCAGATTGTGAAGAGTCTTCATCAGTCATAAAACTGTTCGTGTGACTGTGCTGTTGTGACATGTACACTACTGACTGGGAGCTGCTATATAATTAGCAACGCTTCCCCAGAAGCCTTTAGACCTATGTACATTTGCACAGTGTAGAGTGGGGAGCAGTGGGCAGATATTCCCATGTAGAGGTCTAAAGTAGCACTTTGCCAGTGGTGTAGGACTAGCTGTTATGTTTTGAATCATTAGTCATCTAGAAGAGCAACTCCTCTTGAGATTATGTAGTGCCAGAGGTCCCCACACCATAATAGACCAAAAGATTTTTGATGTCCTTTTCTCTCCCTATTGGCAGGGTGACACTGATGGGTCCGTAGGGGGTACCTTTTCATCATGGCTATGCAAGCCCAGACACTCTTTGAAGCAACTTCCTTTGTCTCTTACCCCATCCATGTAAAGAGAAGAGATATCCCTAAATTCTGCCAAGGGGGACATCAGCACTAAGTTCTTGGAAAGTATGTTACATGAGATCCTGTTTATATTGGTGTACTGTTTGTCTCAAAAGCATATGGACTGGTTGGGAAGGGGAGTGACAAAGCATTCCACTTCTGTTCTCGGATATTTTGTCACACTCAACAATGATGTGTAGCAAACCTTGTGTCTGATACCCGTGGAGGGACTGGCCATGGTGAGTCATCGTGTTCCGAACATACCTTCACATAGGGGCCTCGCCATAGCTCAAGCGGTTAGTCGCTGGCTTCCCACCTGGCGGCCCAAGTTCAATCCCGGTTCTGGTCAAGTGGGATTTGTGGTGGAAAAAGTGGCTCTGGGGCAGGTTTTCTCCGAGTACTTTGGTTTCCCCTGCCAATCTTCGTTCTACCAATTGCTCCAGAATAACCCTCACCTATCATCTGGGGCTAGTACAATAGGCGAGAAGTGGCCGCAGTACAAGGGACTTAGTTCCACCCCTATAGCAATAATAATAAAAAATACCTTCACTTAACTTCACAGTGTCACAGTGGATTCAGTCTAAAAAATTCAGGGCTTTCACATGTGTGTTATATTTGTGTTTAATTCTAGTCTTTGGAATGGATTGCAAATTAGCATTTCAGATGTCACAAATTTTATTTCTCACAGTATTTTGATCCATTAAATTATGAAAAGAAGAAGGAAATAGCAGATTTGTGAACATAATTCAGAGCAAACATGATAAGTTTATTTGATGTAGTTTGCAAATGACTTGGTTAAGCTCACCATTGAATGTTGTGACGCAGAAGTACTTGATTTCTGTCACAATCAGAGGTTTGCATTAGCTGTTCCATGGTTATAAAAGGATTTCTTTGCAGCTCATTGGTATGTGTCATGTGTTATGATATAGATGGCAGTTGGGATTCACATTTGGTGTCAGAAATTGTAACAAATCTAAAATATGATGAAATGGCATTATTGTTACCTGTGGTTGTGAGTTTGAAGTCACATCCCTGTTCTCTACATCTCTTATTCACCATCGCAGCTTATTTTCTTTATCCTCATAGGAACAGAACAGGACTTATTCCTCAGTGCTGAAGGATTTAAATGGATGTACATTTCCTTGGGATAGAGGAGATGGGGCTTTAAATTCACACAAGATGTATGCTTTGACTGGAAATAGTTTATGTACTTTTACTTGGTCTGTCTGTTACACAGTTGTGGGTCCATTGTGAGTGGGAGATATTTTCATGTTCATATCCATTGAAGAATGCTCTCTTTTGGGATGTGACGCTGGATAGATATTGTGGAAACCGATGTTTTGGAGGAATGTATCACCTCCATCTTCAGGGTATAAAAAATCCGTGAGCGAGGAACTAGGGTGAGTGTGTGGCTGCAGCCACATTCCTCCAAAACGTTGGTTCACACAATATCTACACGGTGCCACATCCCAGAAGACGGCTTTCTTCATAGTCACTACCGCGAAAACCTCAAATCCTTCATATCCATTATTTTTCAGAATGCAAGTAGTCAATATCTAACAGTTACAGCTTGCATTAGGAAGGGACGGGTTCCTTCTCGTAACAATGGTAATATTGAGTGCCCTCCTGAGCTTATGCTGAGCATTTCGTCCGAAGGTTTAGCAACAGCGGATGCTACAAAACTTGTGCCATATCCTGAGCCCGATATGTGGTTCATTGCATTCCAAGCAAAATGTATATATAACAGGTAAGAATTTCTTGAAATCAAAGTGATATAATTACTAGTAATTTCATGGTACGGGTTCTTCCTTAGTTACCCAGTTGGTCATTAAATTGTGCAGTTTTATGGAACTTGAAGGTATATTAGTATGTTTACAAAGACTGCCATTATAATCACCTCTGACCCAGTTAAATTTATACTCTGTGGCTATAAGACTAATTTTAATATTATCCTTCCACCTTAATGGCATGCAGTAGCATAGTTGATTGAGGCACTGTGCCACAAGCCACAATGTCACGGGTTCTAGTCCCGATGAGGTGGATTTTTCCAATTTACCCAATCCTTCTGGCTGCACTATGGCCCTGGGGTTGACTCAGCCTCTCACAGAAATGAGTACTAGGACTTCCTGGGGGCTAAAGGTTGGCTGGTGTGTATGGTTGCCAACCTTACCACCATCTGTGAGGTGACTGTCTAGAGAAAATTTGGTAGCCTCGAGGTCTCACAGCCCTGTGGGCCTTCACGGACTCTTACAGGGATATCTTTGTTATCTCATCTTTTTCCACCTTAATACTGCCTCAGCTGCATGTCTGCATTGAACTGGAAGGTAGTTGTGAATGATGAATTTTATTGAATGTGGTTGGAAGCAATTGTAGCCTATTTTAAGGCACTGTCCAAGCATTTGCATGTAGGGGGAATCTTTTAATTTTTGCCTGATAGAAGTATTCAGTTTGTTTTACTTGTTATTGTAAGAATGCCATATGTAGGATCCTAAGAGAACTCTGATTAATGTTTAACAGACATATAAAAGTGATATGAAAATTAATTATGTCTTTATTTGCAGTTCTGTTGTGCCATGTCCTGTACAGGAAGTAATGGTATCATTGGATATTCGGACACAGCCATGTGTGTTTGCTGGTGAGCCTTGTGGCCTCAAAGGAATCTGCCAGGAGACTCATAAAGGTCTCCATTTTTTTACGTCATGCACCTGCTTGGGAGGTCAGTAGAAATGATGTGTGAATTTTTTGCATACCACCATGTTGCCATGTCTGTCTCTTTTCCACCAGTGACTTTTGAACCATTTGACATACTTCCATGACACTCGATATGTATGCCATACTGCTAGAGGCCACCCTGCCTACTTCTTAATTTCCTGTTATCAGTGATGCCAGTGTGATGGCACTGATGTTTGAGTGACACTGATGTCACTGAAGATGTTCGCTGACATGGAAGTCTGCTGCAGACTCTTTACCATGTGCCTTGGCAGTCACTGTTGCCCACTCTGTAATATTTGGTTATATTTCTATGCCAGTGATATGCATTTTATAAGAGTCTTCCTTATGGGTGTTGCTACACTCAGTAGTGTCTGTGTCAAAGTCAGAGTCAAAGTCACATTGTGGCTGATGGTCAGTCAGTAAGTCTTAGTGTCAAGCCCCATCTGGGTCTCATGACCAGACATTTATTACTGTTTGAAAGTTACAGCCTTGTTTTTGTGGGGCGTTCTCTCTGATGAGAGAACGGGTCTGTCTTTTGTATATGCTGCACAGTCTTTCTTTGGTCCGAGTCCCTTGGGACTCACGACCATATTTTACTGTCTCAGATTTGAGACTTCCCATTTCGTCGCCTCCTATGACTTGCAGGGTCATGGTGGAGGCATTCGTTCCCACCTCCACACAGGTTACTAGTGTCTATAATGATTCACAGTAGTTTAAGAATGAAAATTGGCTCTCAGGTCCTTCGCAGAAATTTTGTTTCTAATCCCAGTGCAGTTTGTATGACTACTTTGCAATATTGCTATATTAGAGATGTCTGTAACATTTGTAATGGTGTTTCAGGTTATAAAGGTTGGGGCTGTACCGATGGCAGTAAAGCCACACCAGAGAGCCTGTTGCTACTCACTACATTACTTCTCACGCTCAGCAATGTGTTCTTCCTTCCGGCTGTGTTGCTTGCTGTACGTCGACACTTGCTTACTGAAGCATTTATATATTTGGCCACAATGATCTTCTCCACTTTTTATCATGCCTGTGACCAGGATTTCTACACGTACTGTGTCACAAAATATGAGGTGTGTGTGTTATATAGGATATATGGCTTCCCATACAAGCAATTTATGTATGTAGTGATTTCCAGTATTTCTGCATCTAGATACCATCCAGTCATATTTTTAAGATGAAGTCATTCCATTTTTAAAGCAGTGGTGTGATTTCTGTCTCCTGCATACGGAATTTGTGTTATACTCTGATATTTGTAACAGGCAGGTTATAATGAATGGTTACAATATATCAAATAATATTGCCTGGAGATATAAGTTTAAAATCTCAGTTGAAAAATGATAAGTACTAGCTTTCTATGGAAATACCTTGTAAGAAGTAAAATAGTCATAATGAAAACCTTATAGAACAGGTGGCACATTTACCTTGGAAAGGAAGGAACATATTAACCATGACTGTCAACAAGGATTAGTAGAATTTCAAACTTTGTGTGGAATAATTAAGAACAAAGAATAAGAAAGTTTGAAGAGATGGTCTGTTGGAATTTTGTAAGGTTACTGCCATTCCAGTTTCGATGTACGGATGTGAGGGCTGGGTCATGTGACTGAGAGATTGGCAACTGCTAGAGTTGGCAGAAATAAATTTTCTATGAAGGTTTGAAGGATTTACCTTAAAAGACCATCTCCGAAGTGCTTCAGTAAGAGAAGACCTAGAGATAAGTGCGCTCCAAGATAGAATACAGTATTACAGGAGTAAATGGAGACAACATTCAGAATGTGTGGAGGAAATAAGATTACCAAAAGGAGTTCTTAATTGCTGTCCTAGAGAAAGGAGAGACTTGAACAGAACAAGGAAAAGATGGTTTTCTCAGTAGTCTTGAAAGGGAACAGGCCCGTGGCCTATCCCATGACGACGACAGCTTTGGCGGTGGCGGTGCATTTAACTAGATTAAAATTTTAATATAATACAGTATCTAGGCATTCACTCATGGAGCTGAGCCCTTCTTGAGGAGCGGCCAATTCTGCACCTACTCAAGAATTTCACAGCATTTTATGGAACCCAAAGGTTCTTTACCATGTTCACAAGAGCCCTCCACTGGTCCTTATCCTGTGCCAGACCAATCCATTTCATACCATCCCATCCTATTTCTCTAAGATCCATTTTAATATTGTCCACCCACCTACACCTTGGTCTTCCAAGTGGTCTCTTTCCTTCTGGTTTTCCCACCAATATCCTATATGCATTCCTTATCTTCCCCATTCGTGCTACATGCCCTGCCAACCTCATCCTCCTTGACTTGATCATTCTTTGGAGAATAGTACAAGTTATGAAGCTCCTAAATATGCAGTTTTCTCCAACCTCCTATCACTTCATCTCTGTTCAGTCCAAATATTCCCCTCAACACCCTGTTCTCAAACTCCCTCAGTCTATGTTCCTCCCTTAATGTCAGAGACCAAGTTTCACACCCGTACAAAACCACAGGCAAAATTACAGTTTTGTATATTCTAATTTTTATGTTTTTAGACGGCAGACGAGAAAACAAAAGGTTCTGTACTGAATGGTAGCAAGCGTTACCCGAGTTCAATCTCCTCTTAATTTCCTCCTGAATCAGGTGTAGATAAGTTATCATTGTTCCCAAATATGTGAACTGTGCCAGATTTTCAAACTGTCTGTTTCCTATCTTTATGTCCTGATTTTGCCCTGCATTTTGGTTACGAGACAGCAACATATACTTAATTTTCTCTGTGTTTACTTTTAGACCAACCTCCTTACTTACATCAATTAAAGTTTGTGTGTATTTGTTTATGGTATCTATATTATCACCCAGTAGATTCACATCATTGGTATAGACCAACAGCTGATGTGTCCCATTTAATTTCAGTCCCACCTGGTTTTCCTGGACCTTCCTAATGGCATATTCTAAAGCAAAGTTGAAAAGGAGTGGTGATAAAGCATCTCTTTGTTTTAGACCATTCTGGATAGGAAATTAATCAGAAAAATATTTACCTACGCAGACTTTACTATACATTTCATTCAAACATATTTTAATCAGCCTAACTAGTTTCATGGGTATCCCAGACTCTATCAGAATATTGTACAATACTTTCCTCTCAACTGAATCATAGGCTTTCCTGAAGTCTATGAATAGCCGATATACTGTCTCATTGTACTCCCATTTTTTCTCCAATATCTGACAAATGCAAAATATCTGATCTGTAGTTGGTCTGTTACATCAAAACCCACGGTGATTATCCCCAATAATTTTGTAGTACATTATTAATTTAATGTATTTAGTTTTAATAGCTTCATGAATTTTCATATCTTTGTTTTTACAATCATTTTAAATGGTCCCTTCAGAAATGTAAAATCCAGGTTTTGCTCTTCTTAGATAGTATTGCAGACCAAATGTAGCCATTTGAGTATGTAGAATTCTGAGGGTATTTAGTGGGTGAAACATATGAATGCATGGTCACTGCATATGAACCTGCAGCTCTGTTATGTACGTTTGATAGGAACAGATTTCCATTGCTATGGTTAACAATACAGAATTTCAAACTGATCAGGTTCCAAAGAGCAGTGTTGTCTGGATAAATAAACAGATTGTAGTGATACAACAGCCCCCCCCCCCAAGAAGAAAGAAAAATATTTTGCCTGCTTCATGGTACTCAGATGACTGATGAATGTGAGAGAGAAAGTAGGCAGACCCAGCTGGAGGCCTAGTTGCATTGTCTCACAGTGAAATTCCCTTGTGGTACATACCACATGTAGTGACAGCTGTCATAGTAATACTTCATGTGATGTGTGGTTGAGTGCTGTGATGTGATTAGAGAACTTATCAGTGACAGCCTGGAGTCTGTACATGTGTGAGAAATTGGCCATTTTGCAGGCTTGCTTCTCCTGTGTTGTTAGTAACAAGCTGTGTTAAATTCTTACAGCAGTTCATTTAATACTATAAGATATGTATGAAATTAATATTGGATTTTGTTTTATGTCAGTTGTATGCTAAATTCATTTCTCTGTATAGGTTTTGCAGTTCTGTGATTTCTTCTGCTCCATCCTCGCCTTCTGGGTGACACTAATAGCAATAGCTGGTATCCCTCCACGAGCAGCCTCTACTTTACACATGGTTGGTGTTCTCATCATTGCTGTTGGAGTTGAGTACAACCGTACAGGCCTCTTAGTGTTCATCATTCCCTTTGGGTTAGGAGTTGTTATACCGGTCAGTACAAATAAGTTCTTATTGTGTGTGAATTGAGATTTTGATAGCAGTGACTATGAAAAATACTATTTTCCGGAATGGAATGCCATGTATTCTGGTAGAATTTCATTAGTGTTTCAGAGGATTATAATTCTATTGTCTTAGGGTTGAAAAGTAAACCAAGTATGTATCCAACAGGTAGCAGGTTTTAGGTTTTGCTGGGAGCTTCTTGTTGTCTGCTAACTTGGGTTTCCCTTCAGCATAATGCCCCCATCATCTTGGATGAAGGGTAAACCGGGCAAATAGCCAGCAAGAAGCAGGTTTTTTCATTGTTTGACACTTCCATCTTCCTCCAAAACGTCAGTGAACTTCTACTTGACTACACAGTGTTACATTCCAGATGATAGTACACTTCATAGTTCCTACTGCATCTTTAGTCCCCAGTCCCCTTACCCCACAACCCCAGTCACATTCAGTATAAATCCATACATTTGAAGTTCTGGCAGATATCATTGAATGTTCATGCCCCAACAGAGGACAAAACCCATGATTTAAAGGACAAGCTTCTGTGAGGAACTTGAATATGTATTTGATCATTTGCCAAAGTACCACATGAAAACTTTGGTAGGAGATTTCAGTGCCAAAATAGATAGGGAAGATATTTTTAAACCAAAAATTGGGAATGAGAGTTTGCATGAAATTATTAATGATGATGGAGTTAGAGTGCCGGTCACGGTAGCAGAGCTGTCTAAGGCATTTACTGTCTTTGCTCGCTTGAAACTTGGGATTGTGGATTCCAGTCCCACTCAGGGCCTGGATGTTTGGTTTGTTTGTGTGCGTTTTTCTGTGTTTGTGTACAGGTAGAGGCCTTGCGACGAGCTGATCACCCACCGAAGGAGTCTTACCGAATGTGTAAGATCTAGAAAAACCGAAGTGAACTAAGAAGTTCATGAAGGTAGGGCTAGGCCCACTGGGGCTGTAGTGCCAAGGGGGAAAAAAATGGAGTTAGAGTAGTAAACTTTGCCTCGCCCAAAAAATGTAGTAGTAAAAAGTACTATGTTCCCTCATTGTAGCATTTGTAAATTTACTCAGACATCTCTTGGTGGGAAGCCACGCAGTCAGATTGACCATGTTTGGTAGATAGCAGATGGCATTTAAGTATACTTGATGTTCATCTTTCCGGGGAGGTGATTATGATATGGATCACTCTCTGGAGGTAGCAAAAGTTAGGGAGAGACCGGCTCTGTAGAAACAAGGAATGCAAATATTTGATGTAGGGAGTTTAACCTCAAGAAACTAAATGAAGTAGAGGGTAAAAATGGTGTCACCTTCAAACCTCAAACAGGGTCACAGCTTTGGAAAACTTGGATGATGATGTGGATATCAATAGAGCATGGGAAACTATTAGAGCATTAAAATTTCAGCAGAAGAAAGTCTACGCTATTACAGATTGAATCAACATGAGCTGTGGTTCATTGAGTGATGTTCTTAACTGTTAGACCAAAGAAAGCCAGCATGCATGCATTGGTTGTTGAAGTAACAGTTCAACAGCCATCAGTGGACAGATCTGGGTGAACAGATTTCTAGCTAGGTGGTCTGAGGACTGTTTTGTATACCCCAAAGAGTTCTGACAGCTGTGTATAATACTCCAAATTATTGGGTTTTTGGATTTTGTCAGTCGTCCCTTATTCTAGAAACCAGAAAAAACAGTGTTTCGGAAAGTGGATCTGTTTCTATCCTCAGGTGAGGGGGGAGGACACCTGCTCAGTTGGATCCTTTAGAAAGAGCTAACCTCAATAACTGATTCTTTGTGTTTATTTTGGTGTACCTCATATTAGTTTCTTTATATGTTCTACAATTACTGCAGGTGGCAGCATGGAGCATACGCTGTTGTCGCCAGCGAACGTGCATCCACCTGCAACGTTCACTGGTGCTGCTTCTTCTGCCAGGAGTTCTACTAGCGGCTATTGGTCTCATTCTCTTTGCATTCATCGAGACTGAGGCCAATTACCAGGTATGTTACATGACACTTACTCTGAAACTGTTAATACAGTTTTCAAGGGAAGCAGGAAAGTATTTTTTATGAAAAAAAGTGTAATGAAGTAATCAAATAGTCTTGGTAAATGTATTTATAACATAACTACACTTAACAGTAGTTAGTCCATTCAGTGCCCGTATGAATGCAAGGCAGTCATGTCTTTATAAGCACAACAGAATGAATACAGCTTATAATGAGGAAAATTTTCAGTACTGTCAGGTTCTTAACAATACAAATATGGAAGAATCTTATATAAAATGAGGACTATTTTCTAGTACTTCTATCATAGCAAGCAGTTCCTAACTATCCACAGCTTTCTTCCTACAACTTCTTTCCCCAGTTGTATTTCCAGTTTGTTTTTTAAGCTATTTATAAATGATGGTGATTTCAGCCAAAGCAATTGTGTAGGAACATAAGGAAAACTGTGTATATAAAGGCTGTTGTTTCAAGAATTTTGATGTTGGTGAATGTATTCAGTCTTAATACTCTGGTTATTATTTAAAGATAGTAGCTCAAAAATATATTAAATACAAATTATGTATATTATGACCCACTGCAGAATTGTGTTTTTAAATATAAAACTCCCTGAATGAATGATAGTGTATGTACTGGCCGTCTTGTAGTGCACTCAATTTCACATGTCACTCCACTACATGTTTCAGCAACATTGTGCCATCCTCAGTTGCGTTATTCATGCTAAGCTATTGCATTGCTTGCCATCATGTGTCGTTCATAAAATTATTTAAAATGTACATTCTTCATCAACTATAATAAAATTTGTATACACTAAAACTTGTTAAGATTTATCATCTTATGCGTCTTAATTAAAACTCGCGTATTGTATGGTTCTTCCACTATGGGAACAACGCTCGCAGCCAAAAAGGAAGGACACATAGCAAGACACAGTACACACAAAATATAGGAAAAACGACTCCCATAGTGGAAGAACCATACAATACGCGAGTTTTAATTAAGACGCATAAGATGATAAATCTTAACAAGTTTTAGTGTATACAAATTTTATTATAGTTGATGAAGAATGTACATTTTAAATAATTTTATGAATGACACATGATGGCAAGCAATGCAATAGCTTAGCGTCAATAACGCACCCGAGGATGGCACAATGTTGCCGAAACATGTAGTGGAGTGACATGTGAAGTTGAGTGCACTACAAGACGGCCAGTACATACAATATCAGGGACGAGAATCAGTGCAACAGGACGCTAAAATACAACATCCCTGAGTGAAAATAAGTACAATTGGAAGTAAAACCTATTCGTTGAAGATGAAGACATAGAAATAATGTTATTCATTTTGTTCTTCTATATTTTAATGTTCTGTGATAGCTTTAAGTTTATGTTCTGTACTTTGTCTTTCTTGCAGTATGTACACAGTGCATGGCATATTGTGATTGCCCTGTCCCTGGTATTTTTACTGCCAAGGAGATGCAGCCGACAACAATACGGGTCATGTCAAGGATCAAATGAATCAGAGCTCTTTGATGTCAATGATTACTATTCAGCAAGTCCTGTATTTGTTGTCACTTCAGATCTCGACAATTTATTGACCACTCAGTCATGAGAGTGAACATGTGTTTTCATATTACATAATCATAGTTTTATTACCTCAGTTTGAGATATATATATTGTGTGTTTGTATGTATGCATAGTTTGTTAATAGTATATTCTTTGGTATGTATGTTATATTGTGAAGAAATTATTTATTATATGACAGTGAGTGTATTGTAATACCAATTTTTGTGCCATTTTGAAATTACATGACAAACTATGTATCTCAAGTCAGGTGTTGGCTTCGCTATTGGATTGTGTTTGAAACTATATTTTATGAAGTCTCAGATAGAAGGAATTGGCCAATTTCTGACAGCCATGTTTCTTGTGAAATCTATGTTTGTATTGTGAAAATTGGTATAAAATGTTTATTCTTGTGGTCTGTTTTCTTGTCCTTAGTAGAATGTCTTTTCTCATAAATGTCAGCAGTTTAACTGGCTTCATGCTCTTGAGGCATAAGGCAACCAGTGAAAATATTTTACTGTTAGTAAGTACAAATAAGTTGTTCATATATTTTTACATTTTTCAAATATAACTTTTTTTGAGTAATATTCACCAAAGTTGCAGATAGAGAATTTTTGTTTCTCTTGTGTCACATGACCCATAGTGCTGAAGTTTCTTTTTCCCCCACTACACGAAACTAATTGTCAAAATAGACCATCTTTAAGTCTCATGTGCCATGTTTAGATTTTCTGAAGTGTGAAATTTTAATATTATATTATCTTTCATTGCATTTCATCCTAACATGTAGATTTCATTATGGAATGCTGATGGATTTATTACTATCTTAACTCAGTAATTGCGATGAAGTTTGAAATACATGTAATTGATGACCTTCATTTTATATTTGAATATTAAAGCAAAATTATATTGCATTTTTATGCTAGCGTACAATGCAAAGTGTTTTTCTAAATGTTGCATTTTTTTCTTGTGTCTTGTTTATCAAAGTTGACTTCAGATTTTGTAAAAAAGTTGAAGTCTTCAGAGCATGTTATAACTGGCAGTATTCTTGTGGTTATGGGTTCAAGTCCTGTTCATGTTTTACATGTTTTATGCTCATCATCTCAACAAATTTTCTTTGGCTTATCAGTAACAGAACCTCTCAGCTAATCTGGTAGAAGATACTATGTTAAAACAAGAACTGACATTAATATTGGTATGTATACAGTAACTCATTTGGAACATTAAAGCAAATAACATATTTACACACCTTTTACCGTTATAGGTGCATTGAAACATGTCCATATTGGTGGTCAGTTTTACAGTTTGAACTGATTTTGTGTCATTCATTTTATGTCCTAAAAAATGAAGCGAAGTGTGTCACTAAAGTGTACTCAAACGTGTACATAATTTTTAAAAATGTATGTCACACAAACCACGGTATTATATGGGTCATCCAGAAATTAATGACTCTTTGTGCATAGCATTTGGCAAGTCAGTGAATTACATCATTTTAAGGTTAATGGGCCTCACTAGTCTTTCACTGACAAACCAAGTGAATGCGGCACTGATTCTATCATTTTGGAATCTTTTGTATTATTTAAATTCAATAAGAAAATCAGGAATGTCACTGATTGGGCAGTGCAAGCTGTAATCCGGTTTTGAATGCACAAAATGACCGTCCAATTGAAATTTACTGTCAATTTATTGCATTGTATGGGGAAGGTGAAATGAATGACTCAAATGTGAGAAATTGGTGTAAAATTTTTAATAAGGGCAGGCAAACCTTCACGATGAGCTATCCACATGCCCATTGCATCATTCACTTGGCTTGTTACTGAAAGACCCATTAACCTTGAAATGGTGCAATTCGTTGACCTGCCAAGTGCTACACAAACTTTCTGGATGACCCTCATATCGTACAATTTATTTTTAAAAATTTTCAGTTTAATGCTTGTGTATGATTTAAGTTTGGCAATCTGATTATAAACTTTAGCATATTATATTCACAGATGGTATGCACTGCAGCCTTGAATTTATGTTCAGTGTGGTAGTTCTTTCTTCTTAGTGTATTTTGCCAAAGTGTATTAGAATGTTGAAGACTGAAATCATTCAACTAGAATAACTGCATATAGCATTAATAATTATTTGACTCTGTAGAGAGCTGGAAGTGATGTAACAGCTATCCTGAGGCTACAGAGGGATGTCCCCCAGATGGTGGGGATGACAACAGATTCTCTGTCTACCATTTTATTGCCTTCTGGCTCCCATTTTCTGTCCCAAAGCATGTGTCCTAGTGAAGGTTATCACTGTCAACATTGACATGAGCAGAGAGGTTTTCTGAATGGGGTCAGAAGCATGACATCTTGAATGTGATGTCTAGGGGCCTCAGTACAGCAGAATTACTGCTTCTCTCAGCTTCATTCTGATATATCTTTATTTCTTTGGTCATACTTCCATATACTGAAGACTGGGCATGTAATGAACTAGTTTTGTTCATGTATGATGCAGAATTGTTTATAAGTTCCTGAAATAGCAGCTTTATATTTCACTGTATTAAGAACAAAGACATGAAGTCACAGGTCAAGGCAAGCTGTAAAGTTATGTATTTTTCTTTATGTGTTTGAATATTTGCAAGTGCCAAGCATGATGATTTGATGATTAACACTCCAATTCCATTATTATATTTAAGCATCCTGTTACACTCACACAATATATATGAGACAAACTCCGTCTTAAGTGCAACAATTTTATTGTAGTTCTTTCTTCTTCCCTTCCTCCACACTACATGTTTCGGCCCTAAATGGCCATCATCAGGTGTGTATTCTTACGTAGCTGCTACACTACCCGTAGTTTAAAATTTAAAATCACCAGTTTTTCCAATTGTATGTATGTATAAAATCTTTGTTAACCTTCACGCATCAATTTGATTTCTAAAATTGGCACTTTTTTAAAACTTCAATTCAAATTAAAATGTCTATAAATTTTCTGTTCTTTTTCTTTTTCCAAATGTTTAAAAATTAAAATTTTCTCGGGGTACACGCCCTATGTCTATAGTCTCTGTGTGTGTGTCTCTGCTTATCTTTATTACGTGTAATAAAGATAAGCAGAGACACACACACAGAGAACCTACACAGAACAATACCTGAACAGCGATAAAACAAGAAGTAGCCGCTGCAGCACTATAGACATAGGGCGTGTACCCCGAGAAAATTTTAATTTTTAAACATTTGGAAAAAGAAAAAGAAAAGAAGATTTATAGACATTTTAATTTGAATTGAAGTTTTAAAAAAGTGCCAATTTTAGAAATCAAATTGATGCGTGAAGGTTAACAAAGATTTTATACATACATACAATTGGAAAAACTGGTGATTTTAAATTTTAAACTACGGGTAGTGTAGCAGCTACGTAAGAATACACACCTGATGATGGCCATTTAGGGCCGAAACATGTAGTGTGGAGGAAGGGAAGAAGAAAGAACTACAATAAAATTGTTGCACTTAAGATGGAGTTTGTCTCATATATACTCCAATTCCATATTTGATAGATCCTGTGTTAGGATCTTGACCAAGACACCATTTCCTTTCCAATGGTTTAACTCAGTTTCTCTGAGAAAATGCTGTGATAATATCTTGAAGCAGGTTGTGACTGTTTCCTTTTTCTTCCCATTTTATCATTTTAACCTTTGTTACCCAAGAATAGGGATTTTAAATATCATTGAATTACAAGGATGGTGGCCATGTTTTAATCCAATGGTAACAGTTTATTGTCAGGGAATAAGGGATTTTAGATGCCCCACTTCTGTAGATCTGGCACCTGAATTTTAACTGAAGAGTAATGATATTAACATTAGAAAGATGAAGTACTTGACCAGCTGGAGTGTTCAGTGCACACCATCAAATAAATCTGGTGCATAGGCAATAGTAATTCATCCTCTTTCACACTGTGGGAGCTGTGCATTTGATAAAGCATGTGAATTAGATTTTTTAAATTAGAAAGCAGTATCATTGTGTACAAATGAAAATTGTATTTTTTTTTGTTCCCAGTCCTGCCTATTTTTGAGTTAGAAAGAGATTGGCTCTAATTTTTGGCCTACTTTCCTTATTTTGAAAGAAATAAATGTAGGCTTAGGAAATAACCATGCTGTCTGAGTGTTCATGACTTACTTGAATACCTGATCAATCTTTATGAAACTTCTTATGTATATCATGGTGCCTGAGCCCATCTCAGTGGCATACTTCATAAATCCCTCCCATAGTCTGCGTGTCTGTGTATCCTATCTCTATTATGCAGCAGCCCAGTAAAAACGTTGCCATGGCAACAAATACACGTGCAACAGTTGTTGGACATGTTTTCTATGTGGTCTGTGTCATATCAAAGGAAAGTAGGCAATTAGTACTTCCCAGAACTTCTTGTACATTTTTCTTTTATTTCGTTGCTTATTGACATTGTCAGTATTGAGAATCAGTAATACTTGGTGATTGGGTGATTGATGAATTGGGAAAGATTTGGAACAGAGCAGTCATGGCCTAATGAAGGTACTATGTTGGAAATTAGGGGGGGGGGCAATAGTTGGTGTTCTGGCCAAGATTCAAAATTTTTATTCTTTGCTGTTTTCATGTTGGTATTATGCTCCATGTCTGACTGTTTAATTATGTATATTAACTTGTATTCTGTGTGGTAGCCAGATGGATGGCTGAACTTTTCAGAATGAAAATGATTCAAATCAGTACCTTTTGTATCTAGTCAAGTCTAATCTGCAGTACAGTACTTTCCCTCTGAGTAAACTGGGGTCAAGACCAAATGCTTTCAGAAGTTAATATTTACTCGTACAATGAAATCCTGATTTATTGTTCCTGCACATAGTGAAATCCTGTAGTTAGTGAATATTTGTTCTGGTGCCAGCTGAAGCCCAGTATATTATTTTCCCATGTTTAATGAATTTTGATTCAGTATGTAACAGTGTAAGACATTTTTGACCTTCCGAAATTTGTTCCTCTTAAGGAACATGAATTATTTTTTTAATTAATTTGATATTACTGATTCACATAAATATTTACTTATGTAGAAACTTTCTTTAAATTCTTACATAAAGAAATTATTATAATAATTATGTACTCTAAGTTCTATAATAATATGAACCATTTCTTGCTGTAATTTTGTGTAACCTCCTTTTGGTGAAAACTGCCATTTAGTGTAAGAAAAGTAATTTCCCAAGAGGTTCATTAAATAGAGATTTCACTCTGAACCTAGTAAAACCTAGTTTTTATTTGGTCAAACTGAATGTTGAACTCATGTGTGCATTGTTTCTTCTCAGTTGAAGCAGAAACCCAATGAAAGGAAAAGAATTGTACCCTTTTTATATTTTTAAAGTTTTAGGGTTGGAAATTCCATTTACTTTTCCTGGCATTGGGTTTAGACTCTGTACAATTTTCCACACGAAAGTGAAAATTAAGTGTTGTGGACAGAACTTAAAGGATTTATAGAGCTAAAATGACTGAAAAGAACTGGGACATTTTTTAAAATAAATGTAACAGCTTTTTTCTGTATTTCATGAAATTTCCTGTGGTTTATGCCATGGCACCTATAAAAACTGAGACAGAATCAAATCTCTTAAGAAAATTCAACAGTGTTACATTGTTGACTCATTGATTGATCGATTGATAGCCCAAGTGAGTGTGTGGCTTAAAGCCCATTCAGCTGTTGAATTTACATGGCATTGGTTTTATCATAGTAACCAAGAGAATTTTAGCACTGAATGAGCATAGTGTGATCTTGCAAAAGAAGGTTTAACTTAAAGAGGTTAGATGTTATGCTAAATTACTTCTGAAAAATATGTAATGAGGTGTCTGTACACCATATAGCTTTAATTGAAGAAGCAAATAAAAATTGCAGTACATTAAATGTTTTGTACTGCCAATTCTTATAATCATCATGCAGAGAGTAAGTTCTTTAAACAGGAAAACCTCTTTTTGTTTCTTTATTACTGATCAGTCGTTTCTTTTTTTTTTTATACAGTAATAATTTTAACATTGGTATTTGTAGTTTTATTCTGTAGAATATCCCCTATCCTGCTTGTGTTCACTAATTATTTCTGGGTTTGTATCGTGCTATCATTCATAATATTGCCACTCTCAAATATCGTGTTAAATTGATACTAGAATCGTGTTATTGGTCTTGGTTCGTCTAAATTTAGGCATAATTCTTCACTGTGTCATTCTGATTTATGTAAACTTCCAAAATATGATGAAATATTTCAGTGTAAACAGTATATTTACTATTTATTTGTTAATCCTTGTTCAGTCACTTATTTTAAATTTCATAATGAAACTGAATGGTAATAGTTCTGTTTGAGGCATAGAATTATAGTCTTGTGCCTTATTATCTGTTCAGATGTTGTTGAGTCAGTTAAACAGAACATTAGGCTATGCAGTGGCTGTAACAGTTATATACTGACATTTCACTATGGAGGCAAAAGTTCAGTCTGCTTGAAATTTATGGTAAACAAAGCGACTAGTTTTCCTTTAAGCACACATGTTTTCCATTATCAGTCAACATTCCATCAGTGCCACATACTCATCAGTCACTGCCATTGTGATGTTGCAACGGACCTGAACAGACAAATTATATCATAAACTTGATCCACATTTGAGGGCTTCACTTCTGACCCAAAACTTGGATGGACACAGAAGAAGGAAGATTAGTTTTTTAACAGAGCAGTAATAGTCCAGGTTCCATTACTGAATATTTCAGGAAAAATAAAACTGTTCTTTAACAAACAAGAATCTTAAAATCGTAATAACTTAATAAACATCCCTTCCCAGCAGTTCACGAAGAGGAACTGTATTATGTGCTCACAGTGCAGTTCTCTCTATCTGAAATGTCACACCCTATTAGCCGCAAGATTCTTCAATTTCTTGTAAATCTTCTGTATTGATCCTATGATATTATCTCACTGGATTCAGATATTTGTGTGGGAACATCCCACATATTATCACGCATTTTAAATTACTGGTGTAAAGTCTTCAGAAACAGATGGTGTTAATTTCCCCTCAAACCATATGATGTGCGACGAGAATTGTTGTATTTTGTGTTTGTCTCTTAGTATTGTATGCTGGAGAAATGTAAGAAATATTCATTTCACCTAACAATTTTACTTTTGTCATAATCTCTCAGAATCTGTGTTGCAAGATGTATGTGGTTGTGTCATGAATATGAAAAGTCCAACACAGGTGGGTCAGCTGTTCACATTCAAACCCACCCATCATGGTTTAGTCAATCCGTGTGCCATATTACCCGAATAGTGATTTGTACTTACCATTGGTAGTGTGTATGAGAGAATGACTATTCCTATGGTATGTGTGTGTCGTCATTATCATTATCATTAGCAGCTGCAGATAAGGCTTGAGAAACAAGCTTATAACACGAGTGGGTAGCAGTGAAATTAGTTTACTAATGTCATAGTCTGTATTACTGAAGGCATATTAATCACTGTTATATATTTAAACCAAAGTACATAATAACTGATAAGGTGGTGGATATATCAATGTGGTTATCACAGATCCATTGTCTGGTTCATACACCGCCACTTAAGAGTGATCTTTATCTTGCATGAAGTCTAATTTATTTTAATTGTAGAATTGTTTTATCACTGATTACACTCGCACTCACAATTTTCCGGCAGATATATGTTCTTCTCTTTCAAAAAAGAAATATTAAAAATGCCACTATGCAATCCTTTGTGCAGTT